AAAAAGGGGTGTGTGTGTGTGTGTGTGTGTGTGTGTGTGTGTGTGTGTGTGTGTGTGAGTGAGAGAGCAAGAGTCTCAATGAACCTAACATATACCGATTCAGCTAGGCTAACTGGCCAATGAGCTCCAGGAACATGCCTCTACCCCTTTAGCACTGGTGAGGTGGTTTGAATGAAAAATGTGCACCCCTCTCCCAATGTTTGGCCACTAGTTGGTGGTGCTGTTTGGGGATTTAGGGTGTGGCTTTGTTGAAGTGTGTCACTAAAGGAGGTCTTTGAGACCTTAAAGATGTTATGATAATCCTTGAGGGGGACCTTGGCGGATTCCATGGTGGATGAGGGTGACCGATGCAGAGGAACAAACATGCCAGGCAGACAAAGCTTAAGTGAGAAGTTTTATTAGAAAGGGGAGGGAAGGGAGAAGGAGAAAGAAAAGAGGTAAAGAGACACAGAGACAGAGAGGGACAGGAGAGAAGAGGGAGACAGGAAAAGTCCTGACTGCCCCAGGGGAACCACAGGAAAAAAGAGAGGGAAAGAGAGAGTAAGTGGGCAGGGGTCCTTCTTTTAAAGGGGTCCTTTGCACCCACGTGCAGACTAAGCAACCATGGAACCTTGGGCTGACCAGGGTACTACCTGCGTGCATTCTGCCAGGTGACAGGGGCAAGCCAGCATAATGCCTGAATCCTTACAAAAGACATGTACCATTTCCTAGTTTGTTCTCTCTGCTTCCTGCTTGTGGTTCAATGTGAGACCTCAGTTTCTGCTCTAGCTACCATGCCCACTGCCCGTTGCCTCCAGTCTACCATCATGGACTCTAACCCTCTGGAACCATAAGTCCAAATAAGCTCTTTTTGCTTTGGAGCCTATCCTGGCACTCGCTCTGAAGACCAGGTTGGCCTCGAACTCACAGAGATCCGCCTGCTTCCCGGGGTGCTGGATTAAAGGCGTGGGCCACTAATGCCCAGCCCAAATAAGCTCTTTTATACACTGTCTTGTTCATCGTGTTTTATCACAGCAGGGGTACAGGTGTGTGCTGCCACACCCAGCTTGTTTGTGTGGATTCTGGAGATATACACTCAGTTCCTCAAGTTTTTGTAAAAAAAAAAAAAAGCTTTACCCACTGAATCATCTCTCTAGCTTGCCCTCAAGAATGTTTGTAATATGCAAAAACTTACAATTCTTGGCCTATCATTGCCTGAGAACAAAGCTTATAAATAGAAGAACTCTAAAAGAATCTGTAGAATTAGGCCTGGTATTCAATTGACCTTGAAGAATTGGTAACCTTTCAGCAGCATAGGTGATAGGGGGTGCAGGGAGGCTGGGAGCACTCTAGGCAGAGGGGTCAACAGGAGTGATGTCACAAAGCCAGACTATGAAACTGAATGATAATTGTGTTCAGTGTGTATCACTACCTGAGGAGGCTGGAAAGAGTTGAGATGAGGTGTCATTGTGGGTGATGACAGTCTTGGAACACACACTATCAAAACTGAGGTGTAGGGGTTGTTTTAGCTTTGGTTTTACAATCTGTAGGGTTGTTCCATACAAGTATTGTATATAACACTATAGCAATTGTGAGCAGGAATTTATAGGTGATTACATAACAACCAGGAGGTAAATGCTCTTTGCAAAGTCTCAGATTTGAAATGATGACCAAAATAGGAATCCTGTGTAATAGGATTCTTAAAAGGATGAGCCATAACCCTTGGGTTCAAATCTTTGACTCTTGGTGTAGAAACTATACATGTTGGGAAACACATACTAAAGTTAATAGTTCATTATGTGTCAGGCACTTTTCTAAATATATAGACAATGAGTGACTCAATGCTTCAACTCCTTTTCTTCTGATTTATTTTTAAAATTACATCTATATGAATGTCTGTGTGTGAGTATGTACCTGAGGAAACAAGAAGGGGACAGAGTTTAGGCAGTGGTAAGCCACCTGACACAGGTGCTGAGAACCGATGTAGGCACAGTACATGCTCTTAACCACTGGGCCATTTCTCCAGCCTCCAACTACTGCTGTTTTTATTTTGTCATGGTGCAAACGTGGCTATCATTCTATAAAAACTATACTTCAGATTTTGACTTCTGACTTTTTCCTGGGCTAGCAATGTTGGACAGCAACACTGAGCCCATGGCACCTTGAACTTGTGGATAGTTTCTACTTTCCATGAGTCTTTCTGGATATTATCCCATTATTGGTAAAGGGATCTGTATCAAACCCTTAAATGAACAATCCAATGAAATAATTTATATTGTTAATACAATTTTCAGTCCTCTCACCCTAAAAAACTGAAAGACAGTAGAAGAGAGTGGGAGATGCAGTTTCTAGATTTTCTGTTCCTTGGTTTATGTCATAATCCCAACTCCTTGGTATCTCACTAGCACCCTTCCCCATTGTAATGCTATGATAGATTGAACCATTGTTCAAAACTATTCTCCTCCTCCCTCTACCTTCAGAGAAGTCTACTTCCCCCTCTTGACTTTGGGCTCAGCCATGTCAATCTCATAGACCAAGGACAGCAGAAGCAGCAAACAGAACATGGACTATTCTGCAGCTGTGCATGGCCACTTGTACTTCTGCCCTGGGAATAACATCCCTGAATAGCTACAATCCATTTAGCCTGAGATCCTGAAGACCACAGGATACAGATCCACTCCTCCCTAGGTGTTGAGTGGTTTCGTGACTGCAGTAACTGACTCCCAATCTTGCAGAACTTCTAATACCAGCACATTCCAGTAATATTTGGAGACTTGTAGATAAGAATCTAGACCCAAGGGCTGGAGAGATGGCTCAGTGGTTAAGAGCACTGCTGCTTTTTCAGAGGACCCAGGTTCAATTCCCAGTACCCATAAGGCAGTTCACAATTGTCTGTAACTCCAATTCCAGGGGATCTGGCACCCTCAGGCAGACATGAATGAAGGCAAAACACCAATGTGCATACAATAAAAAATAAAGAACTAGATCCAGAGACTGAGGGTGTAGGTTAATGGCAGAGTGCATGTTTAACATGCAAGGAAGCCATGTGCAAGGAAGGCTCAGAGTTCCAGCTTTGTACCCCACCCCTTGGAAAATCTAGGTTCCTCTTGGCCTTACCAGCAGAGTGCCAGCCCATTTTCCTTCTTTGTTATGCTGGTTTTTGAACTAGGTGATGAGACACCTTATCTTCTACAGCTAATTCACAGCATTTCCTATTTCCACTATAACAAGAACCTTGGTTTGGGTGTTTTGAAGAGTTATTTTTGGGGGGTGAGGGGATAAGATGTGGTCTTACATAGCCTCAGCTGGCCTCAAACTTGCTATGTAGTTGGGGATGACTTTGAACTCAGACTGCTCCTGTCTCTGCCTCCCAAAAGTTAGTCACAAAGGTGTGAACCAGGCTGTCTATATCCTTTTAATTAAAGAGAATCAGCCTTTTAAATAACAGGATTTGAATACCCCTCCCCCCAGCAAGCCTACAGAAGAGGAAACTCAGACCAGAACTTAGTATCTTAGCAGACATTTTAAAAAATGTAGTCCAGGTTAATGGCTGGAGAGCTCCTACCATTCCCTTGGTGAATATATGTGGTTGCTCCAATCCACACTGCAGTGTTTCAGACATTTTGCCAGCAGAACTAGAGGTCTGGATCACATGCAGAGTAACACTGACCTTCCAATTATGGGCTGGACATTTGGATAGTATGAGCATCTACGTTTCCATGTAGGGCTGGGGTGTGGATCAGCGGTAGAGCACTTGCCTGGCATGTGTGAGGCTCTGGGTTTGATCTCCAGTACAACATAAACATTTCCTACCTGATGACAATACACTACAGTGTTAGCTAATAACCAGATTGTAAGCCTATAATTGTATTGAGTAATGGAGATCCAACAGCTGTGTTCTTTAAAAATATGCATAAATCACATTACTATAAATTGAATCTCACTCTAAATGCACCAAAGGACTATTTAAAGAAATGCAATCTTGAAATTTTCCTAAGAAAATAATCATGGGGCTGGGGATGTAACTCAGTTGGTAGAGTGTTTGTCTATTAGGTAAGAAGGCTTGGGTTCCCTTCTTAGTACTGTGTAAGCTGGGCATGGTGGCACAAGCCTGTAATCCCAGAACTCTGGCTTCCACTATAAGTCAGCCTCGCCTCTCTACAGTAGAGCATCCATGACAACAGTAATGTCAAATGCTTGATATCATTCTTTATTTCAAAAGTGCTTTACCAACACATACTAATCTTCACAACATCCAAGGGAGGTAGATAAGTATTACATCACTTTCACAGATGGAGAAACTGAGGCAGAGATTAGTAAACTGTGTGGAAGAGCATAATATATGGCACAATTGGGAAAGCATTTGTTGCTGTCACAGGTTCCTGGTCGCCTTTCCCATGACTTTTGAGTCCCATGAACACAAAGGTAGCAACCGCAGCCTGGAAGCAAGTCATGGAAGCATGGACTGAGGCTACCTCAGGTGCTGAATGAGCCATCCTTTGAGCATCCCCAGCACTAGCATCCCCAGCATCAGCATCCTCATACCTTCCACCTCTAGCATGGGAGAGTGGAAACTGTGGAAAGGGCAGAAGGGGCTGGAGAAATGGGGCTTGAGGGGAAGACAGGAGAAAATACCAAGCAAGGGCACAGAGGAGTAGGAGGACTGCCTGGAAAACAGCCCAGCGGGAAGGAAGGCACTGCAGAAATGAAGTACCATCCATCTGAAAAGCTCAGGCATCCTGAAAGGCTACTAAAAGGATAATTCTTAGCAATGACATTACAGAGCCACTCCTCATAGCTTTGCCAAATATAATTATCAGGTCCTTGTGACATTCCCAGGAGGCACAATCATTCCTTTCCTCTGGTCTAGACCAAGTGCTGATGTAATTGACCTGACACTGCAGAGACTGTTGACAACTCAAATGTACTCTCCTGCCATGTCATCTCTGCCTCCTGACTCTTCTGAAGTGAAACAAAAGGAAAATGCATTTAAAGATTGTCCCAGCAAAACACTTGAAACATTCCTAAATTGTGGACTCACAGGGTAGGATCCCATCTTTGATTTTTTTTTTTAAAGAGCTGTGATATTCATATGTGGAAGTCACCAACCTTTTCCAAGCATGATTTTTCTATTCAACATGGGACATAAAAAAAAAGAAAACAACTCCCCCCAAAACAAAATATACCTCAAATTGGTGGGTGCCAACTATCTAGAGAAAAACTGGAGGCCACCACAAAAAAAAAAAAAAAGTCTTCTCTGGTCATCTTAGTGCAATCCAATGTAAGAGATATCAAATGAGGTGTCAAAGGTTCCTGGTCACCTTTCTTATGACTTTTGAGTGACAGGCAGTGGCAAATGAGTCCAAAGACCAAGGACCTTGTAGGGCTAGTTCAAGTGAATAGGAAGAAGGGACAACAAGGACAGATGAAAAGGAGAAAGTCACTGCACAGCCAAAGAACTGAGAACAACTGCCAGTGTTTGTACCTAGGTTCCTCTAGGACAAGTCATGTGTCCTAGAGGACATTTGCATCATCCCTTCACTTCAGTCATCAGTATTATTCTCAGTATTATTGTTCAGTCTAGCTCTGAACACCCTCCACTCCTCTCCAACAAAAACAACCACCAAGTCTGAGTCTACCCTTTAACCTGGTCTCCTTTTCTCTACCTCCTCCTGGTCCTGACATCTCACCTAACCAAAGCCAAAGCCTTCTTCTTGTAATCCCCAACTCCAGTCTCCTCTCCTCTCAGTCCATCCCATCTTCTAATTTTCCTCCTGGTACACAGTTTTGATTCAATTTGAAAACTCCCCTCTACTTCACTTTCCTCTCTCCCATCTATGCGTTACCTAGCGATGTGTTCTGCTTTCCAAACTCCACCTGCCAAAAAATGTCAGCTCTAAAGATTCAATTCAAGCACCACCCCTCTGTGATTCCTTTCCTCATTTTCCTTAGTTTTCTATCAACTGAAAAAGCATTTGATGATATGTACCGGTTAAATCCACGGTCAGCTTCGTACAAGCCTGCCTGCCCTCCTGGGCAATGTCATGATGTTGAACCATATCTTAATATTTTTTATATGTATCTGCCCCACAATCCCTGTCAAGAAATGGTTATTGCCTTTCTACCTCAGGTAATAAAAAGGCTTTAAAAGCAAAATGAATTAGGATGTGCTGTGTTTGCTCATGAATGAAGATGCTTCAGCGAGCACTCGGTAACATTATACAGTCTCAGCATAAAACAAATCCTTGCTACCACCACAAGAGAAAGGGTATAGACAGCAGGTGGGGCTGTATGTTTCAGAACCAAGAGGTCCTGCCTGAAGTTTTCTTTTGCTGTTTACTAGCTATGGGCCTGTTGCCAGACAGGTTCTTCTCTGATCATCAATTCCTTCCTTCTCCATGGCTTTGTAGAATTAAGAACCAACAGAACTACATCCCATGAACTCTGCACAGAGCGGTTCTCAATCTCAGTTATGCATCATATCACCTACAAAGTTTCCAAAAATACTATCAGGCCCACCCCAAGTCAACTGACTCAGAACCCGCTGGAAGTGAGAACCAGTGGGATTAATTATTTTAAAATATTATTTCTAACACATAGTCAAATATTGCAAACCACTATTGTAAACTCATAAATACCATTAGCAGTACAGCAAGGGGGCTTTAGACTTTGGCTTAATTATCCCGTATTTGTTCAGTCAGGAATTAGTTCAATGCTTTATAGTCCAATTAAAATGCACTACAGTTTGGGGAAATTTTTGTTATTCTGTGTTGCTGTTTGTGAGTTTAAGTTATAAACTCTTAGAAAAGCATAACCACCATACCACTGTATACAAAAGATGGGAAACTTCCTAAGGTCCCTTTAAGTCCTGTCATTCAGAGATGTGTTGAGCAGACCAAGCATAACCTGGGACTTGTAAGAAAAACAAAAAGCATCTCATGCCTTACTCTGGGATGTTCATATTAATACGATGTTTTGATGGATCAATAGGTGAAGCAAAGGCAACCGTCTTCATCTTACATTTGTGTTTAGACCTTTCTGTCTCTGTCCTGAACCTGACACCGGGAGTCAATTTCTATCTTCCACATACCATCTGAACTTGAGACTTTAAAACCCTTCATTCTCCAAAGGATCCATTTAATAAAAACTAAGGACAGAAATCCTCATGGAAAGGATCCTACTTCTAGTATCTCATTGCAGGATATATCTAAAATAATGGACTAATTCCTCTAAAATATTTAAAATAGATTCAATGTACAAAATCGATACCTGCTTATAATTATGCAGTGCCCAAATTGGGAGTTTGTGAGAATTTTATAGAACCTGACAGGCCCCAAAACCCAAATTCCAAAGCTTGGCCACTCACTTCTGGAGACAACCCTGTGTAGACCCAGGCCCCTCAGGCTGCCATGATGTCAGCATTGTGCACACAGGGTGGCACAGGCCACACCATGGCTAAAGAGCTGAAACAGGAGCAAAACATTATGTAGAACCCCCTTGTTCTGTGGACCGGAAGCACCAGGTAAAGGTTTTAGGGCATTAGCCAGAGTCACACAGCACCTTCAGGCAGAGCCACACTTAGCACACCAGCCCTGACTGTACTCCCCCTCCCCCATACAGAAACTCATTCTCAGAAATTGCTCATCTGCCTGGGCACTGAAGTGTCACTCTGCCGCTTCCAGCTACTTCCACCCCCAACTCAAAATGATCTAAAGGGCCATTTTGTCTTTTTATTTTTTTTTAACATTAGGCTACAGCAGAAACCTCACAGCTCAATCAAAACACCCATTTATCCATCCATATCTCCAAATATGTCGGTAACAGATCCTTACAAAGCCTAATCCTGACTGAAGCGCAACACCAGCAATACAGCATTACCATCGGCTAATACCTTGATGAGCACAGCCAGAGAGGACCTTTCCTAAGGAGGCTAGAGACTACATAAAGTCAGAGCAACCACTCACGGGCAGCCACTCACTCAGTAGTAAAAAGTTGGGCGGGGTCTGGGCTGGGATGGCAGCACCTTTAAAACATACACAGTGTAACTATAACATTTTAAGACAATTTTAATAAACAGGATGTAGGAACCTAAAGGAACATTAAACCCGCAAAGTTGTTATGTCTCTACTTCTACTAAAGCCACCACTGGCGGGAGACACTACTTGGAAAGCCTCTTTGGGGAAAGCCTTAAAAGGTAGTTTGTGAGCCCCTTTAGGAAATACCCTTCCAAAAGCTGGGCTTCCCAAACATCCACACTCAAGAGGATGACATCAAGAAGGTGGAGAAGAGCCACGCAGGGCAGCCTCTACAGTGGGAGGGTTTTACATCTATCTGGGTGCAAAAAGCTCCACTGTCAGCAGAAAAAAAAAAAAAAAAAAAAAAAAAAAAAACCACACCAAAAAATCAAGTAGAAATCCCCAGCCACACTCCTTTATCATCACACTTGCATTTGGTTAAAATAAAAAACACTCACACATGGTTCTTCTATGAATTCTAATTAAGAAATATTACATTCAGAGTTATAGCACGCATAGTGGTGATTTTCAGAGACTGTAACAGCTTCTTGGCCACTTGAGGGGTACATGGGGTGCAGCTGTTTCCCTGAATGTATTCTTAAATAAGTGACTACTTCCACTCTAATTCTCCTAGTTGGAGGTCTGTTACAGGCTAGCGACCGCCAAGGTCACATCCCAAACTTGCCAACACAGATTAACTACAAGGGGGCCAACCCCAAGTCTTAGGGTGAGTTGGGAAAGGGCCGGTTAAAAGAGGAGACAGGCCACTCCTTGGTAAAAGTTTGCAGTTTTCTTTCCCAGTACATCTTCTTTTTGTTGAGGACTTCCATCTTGACCCTGTGCTCCTCCTCTGCCATCTCACACTCCCGCTCTATCTGCTGGATTTTGGCCACGTGCACCTCGTTCATTTGGATCAGCTGCAGCTGAAGGATGGACATTTGCTGGTGGTGCTCTTCCTCGTGCATCTTTTTTAAAGCACCTTCCTGAGATGTTTTGCTCCTGTAGTTTTTGTTGGCTGTTACTCTGACGGCTGAACACGAAGGTTCGGGTTGTGAGGTTCCCTCACATACTGGAAAATGGACGAACTCTTTCTCGTCATCGCACAGTTCTCTATTTGAAACAGGAAAGGATTCTGGAAACAATAACAGCAAAAACAGTAGCAGAAAAAACGTTAAAAAAGATTTTACAAGCTGAAGACAAATGTCAATCCAATTCCAAACAACAGAGTCCCTCACTGCAGAATGACTCTAAACCAGGGTCAGCATTTGGCCCTCATGTCCAGGTCCTCTGACCTCACCTGACTTGGATAAAGTGTTTCATTTTGTCACTGGGACATCCTGGGGACATGATCAGAGAATGTGCTTATCGAGAGTCAGAGATCCTGAGACAGTGACACAAACTCCAAACTGAAATGTGCCTGACTGTGAGAAGCATGAGGTTGCAGCATGAGGGCGACAATGTGAATCATGATGCTAACTTCCCTGTCTGTCTGGTCACCTTTGTCAGTTTCTCCATCAGCCATGAACCTTTTGTTCTATCTCAAGAGCGCCATGGAGCCTCCTGTCCATTGGAGTCAGCCCTTATATCTGCTCCTCCTTAGGGATGAGTCTACACTCTGGCCTATCTCCCTCCATGTCTCTTTAATCATCTCCCTATGCCTATTAGCTCCAGCACTGTGAGGAGAAGGCAGTGTTCAGCTCCCAGGGATGGAAATGTCTATTATTATCTCCCTTACCCTGTCCCCAGCACTTGACAAACCTTGAAATCTCCTTCCTCCATTAGCTCCTGACTCATTGCCCTCCCTACGTGTTTTCATAGCCACCCTCTTCTCTGATTGCTCCTCTCAAGTCTCCATGGAGTACCGAGACTCTTGTCCCAGCCACCTGTTCCCCTTTTGTTATTCCCTTGTGGTCCCCATCTCTGGCTCTATCTCAATTTAACTTTACAGTCTGGTCCCAACCTTACATCTTCCTTGTTTTAGTCTTCAAAACGCCCTGGGTGCACCTGGCTCCTACCCCAAATACTCATTCTCTGAAGTCATGCTTCAGTTCCCAAGTTTGTGTCTCACTATTCCCACAGCTTGGAGTTGGGCTGGGTAAGTACTTCTCCACACCCCGCGCACACACCGGTTTCTCTTTTTCAACCTCCTCTGTGATCCCTGCTGGTTCAGGGCCAACACTGCTTGTTCTGAAACCTCAGATCTCTCCTTCGTAAGTGTTCTCCTTAACAACACTCAGCACACAGTGTTCTATTTTGGCACCAGGCCTTGCTCATTTCATTAACCTTGGATACTAATTACTTTCCTGGGTACCCAGTGGATGACTAGTAACACTTACTGGCCTGAATACACAGAGAAGAGAGCAGATGGATGTAAAAAGGTTCATTTTGGTAGGTGCAGCGTGTACACTGGTATTTTTATAGGGTGATAATATTAGTATTAGAAAATGTCAATAAGAAAACCACGAACTCCAATAGCTGTGGAGTCTTTTTGTTTGTTTGCTTGCTTGAGTCAGAACCTCCATCCCTGGTTGTACTCCAACTTACTGTGCAACTGAGGATGACTTTTACCTTTTCATCCTCCTGCCTCTACTCCCCACTCCATTGTAATCCCACAGCTGGGACTACAGGCATGCAAACCACCACATCTGGTTTTATGTGAAGCTAGAAGTGAATCAGGGCTTTCTCAGCCTCTCTACCTCCAGCAGCCCATGGAGATTTCTAGGTGTGACTCTAAGACTTTCCTCAGAAGCGCTACATGCTCCATAATAAGAACCTTCTCCTTAGAGAAAAGTGATACTAATTTATTAACAGAATTGATTACCTTGCTTTGGAAGATGGGATGCTGGGAGTGTTAGTAGCTTCTGGGGGAAATCTAATTGGTGATGCTCTGCTAGTAAAAGGAGGGTGGCTATGGTCTGGGTGATTGCACTCCAAGGGGGAAGGTAACAACTATAAGTAGTCGCTAATTAAGGCTAAAGAAAAATACAGAAATCTGAAATACAGAAATTTTTTGTAATGAGGAAAAAGAAAACCTTTCAGTATCATCTAAATAATGAAAATGTCTCCCTAGTACTCCTACCAAGTGCAACTGCTCTCACCTGGACTCGGTGTCCTTCCTGCAAATTCTTTGTCTTCCTGGTACTAGTTGAAGCCAGGTATTACACATGCCTGAGTCCTCGCACATTGAACACTGTGTGATGTCAGCCTGGGCTACACAGCAGACTTCTGTTTCAAAAATAATCCCTGTGGTTGGAGAGGTGGCTCAGCTGCTAAGAACACTTGTGACTCTTCTGGAGCACCCAGGTTTGATTCCCAGCACCCTGATTTCAGGGAAATCTGATGCCCTCTTCTGGCCTCTGTGGGCACTGCAAGCTTGTAGTACAAAGATGTGTAGGCAAAACACTTATACAGATAAATAAAAATAAATCTTTAAAAATAATTACCTACACCCCCCCCCCAAAAAAAACAAAGAAAAAGAAAGGAGAAAAAATCCTCTGATCATTTCCCACCCTCAAGTCCCCAGCTCTGGAGACAGAAACTGCCTCTCACTTTCCTCTCATGTACAGCCCAGTGAAGAGTCTGGGATAGCAGCAAGCACTGAATAAATGCATGTAGACCAAACTGAGGACAGTGGGTGACACCTCTCTCCACCTAACAAACACAATAGAGGGACTGAAGCACAGGAGAAAGGAATGAGAAAGGCTAACACTGGGGACAGAGGCCTCAGATGTGAGATCAACCACATTACCTCACGTTTCCTTTCTAATCTTAAATCTGAAAGTGGTTTTGTTTTTGAAGACTGAAAAGAGACACTTTTTTTTTTTGACACTTCTACCATCACAGCTTGATTGCACGCCTATGAGTCTTTAAAGTTCAACCATTCACAATATATAACTTTTTTCCAATTCTCAAATATTCCCCTTTATCTTAACAATTCTAGGCTTCAAGGACATGGTGATGGCAGTGACAGCTGCTGGCATTCAAGTATACCACACACAACAGGTACTAGTGCTTCACAACCCCTCATTCAGTTTCTACAACCTTTTGAGTATAGTGTGACTCCAGAAAACCAAGTCTAGCATCCAAGGCCACATGGAAATCCAGGGTTCTGATCCAGGCCTGCATAGCAACAAAATCATAGCATTGAAATGTCTGAAAGCAAAGAAACGGTTCCTTTTAATCCATCCTTTTTGAGATGTGTGCTGACACACACATTCCAAAGAAAAACAGCCAGACCTCTTAAGAAGACTGGCAGAAGATAGGACTTAAAGCCAGACGAACTAGTAAAGCAACTTTCAAAGATTAGCACCAATGCACAGAGGTTAGAACTGAGATAGGCTAAGTGATCCCTTAATTGAAAAAAGACTAGCCTGGGAATAGCAGCCTGCTGCAAACGCACACCCTACCATCTCTCTCCCAGGTGAAACAATGCCAACCAAAATAGAAAATCCAATTCTATGCAAAAAGAGCAGGAAGGCTTTTCTGAGACTGAGAACACAGCCAAGAGGGTGTTCTATCACTTGGGTAATTTGAGTAAATTTAGCATCCACAGGAGAAGCCTACTACAGCAACGAAAAGAAAGCAGTGCAGCATAGTCTCCGGTTATTCTCATCAGAGTGAAGGAAAGAGATGGCTGAGAAAATGAGTAAGATGTTTTGGATGTGTACAAAAGGAGTTTATATGTTAACTGAAATTAAAAGGCCTGGTTTGAACACAGCAACGGAACTGGATCTTAAAAATGCTACTCCAGTGAGAAAAGCACAAAGCCCTAGCTATAGCACAAGTTTTCAACTATATGCATTAATAAGCACATGTTAGAGAATACTAAAACATGGCAGAGCCATTAGAATGCAATATGAGGATGAGAACCAAAAGGGAACACACACATAACTAACACACAAGAGGAGCTTTGCACAGACCAAGGATGCAAGCGTGCCATAACTGGAAATACATTGCAGTCCTCAGTACCCAAGTTCACACCCTAAAAAAATAGGACTGGGCTCACAGTGACAAGGGGATTTAGAAGTAAATGTTCATTATAGCTTCATAATAGAGAAATGATGTATACAAAATTAAACATAACTTCTCCTAAACTCTGTGGCTGCTACTAAAAATGCTTAGTTCTCATAATGTTTTAAGGCACTAATGAGATGGCTCAGTTGGTAAAGGTGCTTGCTGCCAACCCTGATGGCCTGAGTTGGATCCCCACGATCCATGTGGTAAAGTCTACTCCCCCAAGTTGTCCTCTGACATCATACACAGGCTGTGCCATGCGCACACACACAATTAAATAAATAATCTTAATGTATTTAAATGGTCATCCTTCCTACTAGACCATCCTCTCCACACCTGGTCCTCAAAAAGGATAATTAAATTATCACAGATCTCAAACTCTGCATCTGGAGACTGTGAAGGAGCCAGTGCCTACAGGACAGACACTGGTTTTCTTGTAACTAAACCCCATTTATATTCCTGAAATCATCAGATCACTGTGTTCAAACACTATTAAACATGTTAAGTCTTCAACGAAGCCATGAACATCCTGGGGTTAGTGACACAGTGATGCCTTCTCCCATAATAAACATAGCTAGAGGGAGGCCTCTAGTGGAATCTGTTCAACTCCATCCTGCTTAACATTTTATAATAAATTCCAGCACATCTCTGGGAACCTAGAAGTAGAATATAAACTTCATGAGTAATTCTAAATGCTTACACCCACATGACAAAAAAGCTACACTGATTTTGTGATATACTTTAATCCAGTACATCTGAAAACTTATTTAAACATGTAATTAACATAAAATTATTGATGAGATTCTTTTGTGGTATTTAGGTTTCAAATTGTGGTGTGTGTGATTACAGAACATCTCAGTTTTCTCTACTCATATTTCAACTGCTTATCAGCTTCGTGCCACTTGTGGCTGCTGTATTAGACACCACAGTGTTGCAAATACAAAAGCAACACACACAGAATCATGTGTCAAAAACATGTAAGATGTTCATCTTTTCCCCCACCAGTTTCCAGAAATGATGGCTGATAATCCTAGCCCCTCCCACCCCCATCTTTTGGTTGTTTAGTTTTATTGCCATTTGTGTGTGAGAGAGAAAGACAGAGACAGGGACAAGGAAGGAGGGAGGGAGGGAGGGAGGGAGGGAGTTTGTGGGAGGAGTATGTGCACATCTCCTCTAGGCCAGAAGAAGACACCAGATGCCCTCCTCCATCACTCTGCCTTATTCTCTTGAGACAGGTTGTCTCCCTGGAGCTGGGTTGGTGACTCCAGGGATCCTGCTGTCCCCACCCGATACAGAACTGGGGTTACAGCTGGCTTTTTATTTAGGTGCTGGACTCTGAACAGCAAGCACTTTACCCACTGAGACATTTCTGCAGTCCTTCTCCCTGACTTCTTGAAAGTAAATAAACTGAAATGTAAAATGAGTGAAAACCCCAAAGCCATTTTGAATTGCAAAAAGAGTTCCAGTGCCTCAACTATGAGTGCCAACAATACTTTGGGCACACTTCCAAACTGACTGGGCAGCAAGGCTCACTGCTCTCAGGTCTGTAATTGGAAACAGGAGCTTTGGCTGTGTTTTAATAAACACCAGCAGAAAGACAAGCCTGCAGTGTGACCTATGCACAGATATCTAAGTTAAAATAATGGGCAGAGATGGCTCAGTAATAAAAGCACTCATTGCTCTTGCAAAGCACTAGAGTTTGGTTCCTAGAACCAGCATCATGCAGCTCACAACTGCTATAACTCCAGTTCCAGGGGATCTGACACCCACTCTGGTCTCCACGGGTACTCTGCACGCATGTGGTGCATATACATACATGCATACACTGAGACACACACACACACACACACACACACACACACACACACACACACGTGCGCGCGCGCGTGCGTGCGTGTGTGTGTGTGTGTGTGTGTGTGTGTAAAATCAAATAAATCCTTTAAAGTGTCACACAAATGAGTCTCCAGCAAATGCCACTACAGAAAGAATCCATATTTTGGGCCAGGTGTAGTGGTACATACTACTCAGCACAGCACTGCTCACTCCCTTCCTCCATCCCAGAACCACGCCTACAACTGCACTGATGGATGCTCTTCGGCCAACAAGATAGAAAAGCAAGGGAGGCTACAAAGATCGGCAAAGGAAGTGCACACTCCACAGAAGCAGCATGGAGGGATGAGAGCTGGCAGTGCCCGTGTAAACTGTATCTGCCAAGAGCTATCTTGGTGTAGGACCCTGAAAATCAAAACCCAGACATGTCTCCTGTGTCAGGAAATGATGCATAAAGCCCATGACAACTGACCACAGTGGTCACCCTGCCTACTAGCCTGGACTTAATCTTAATCAACTGATTAGCAAGCAAAGTTTGTGTCATAATTTAGCTTCCTAGGATGATCTGTCCACAGGGAAAAAAGTGTTAATCAAAAGCATGTATTTGGTTCACATGGTAATTACCTTTCTCACTCTACACAGTATTCTTGGTTTCAAACAATTTCTTATGACTTTTAATTAACAGGAGCCAGGCCCTCAGAGCTCTGTCTTCTCTGGGGACACTGAATTCAGTGTTCTGCAAGCTAAGAACCAGATTTCCCAGGCAAGTGCTTGCTGGGTCCCTGGAGCACCTCCGTGAAGCCCTGCAGCAACCCCACCAACCTTTCTCTGCTTCGTGATGTGCCTTCCGAAAACTGCCATGGACCTTTCTACAAAGGGGCCACTTCCTGTCTTTAAAAAGGTGGGAATGGTTGGAAATTTATCTATATACATGTCCACTCTCTGCCTGCCTGGAGATAGGAGGCATCCTTGATTCCCGCCCTTTAAAGCTACAAGTAACCATACATCCTTGACTACAGACAGTTTCTTCCTTCCCTAAGAATTGTGTGTGATGTTTTGCTCTTTGCAACAGGAGTATGATGAATTTAACACTTGTCCCAAGAATATCTCTAAATCCCTAGAATGCCACAAATAAACTTTGGGTCACGATTATTACAGAGAGTAAACTATTGGTTTGCATCTGAGTGGGTGCTAAAGGGTGTTTTGCTTTATTTAGTCTCTGTGCTTTTGATGCATTACTTTTTAAAGATCTATATTTCTAGCAAGGCATGGTGACACATGTCTTTAATCCCAGCCCTCAGGAGGCAGAGGCAGGTGGATCTCTGTGACTTGGAGGCCAGCCTGGTCTAGAGAGTGAGTTCCAGGACAGCCAAGGCTACACTGAGAAACCTTGTCTCAAAAATAAACAAAATTTATATTTGTTTAATTTATCTTTGTGTGTGTATGGCTGTATGTGGTATGCATATGGGCATGAGGGTGCCTGCACAAACCAGAATAGGATATTGATCCCCAGGGGCCGGAGATACAGGCAGTTGCTCACTGCCCAGTGTGGGTGCTGGGAACTGAACTCTGGTCCTCTGCAAGAGTAGCAAGTGCTCTGAACCACTGAGACATCTCTCCAGCCACTAACCTCTGTGCTTTTGTTTTTAAACTGGAAATAGTTTACTCATTTAGTATGGCCTTTTAAGTGACTTAAAGTAGTACCTAACACAGTAGGCCCTCAAAAATAACTTTTTACAAGACTGAGTGAACAAATAGAAATCTCCATCCAGTTTCCTTTAATAAACCGGAAATAGTTTGAGCTACGAAACCCAAGTACCTCACTAATGAGAATAATACACATGCGCTCTTTATGGTTAAGCAATAATCACCTCTAAGAGAGGCTACATAAAAAACGAACTATCGTTCTGAATGCCCTGTGTAACAACCCAGTCTGATATCAACATTTCTTACAAGTTTCCTAAAAATGGAGCATTTTACAATTCAACTTTAAGGGGCTGGAGAGATGGCTCAGTGGTTAAGAGCACTGGCTGCTCTTTCAGAGGTCCTGAGTTCAATTCCCAGCAACCACATGGTGGCTCACAACCATCTATAGCGGGATCTGATGTCCTTTTCTGGCATAGAGGCAGATAGAGCACTCACATATAAAATAATCTTAAAAACAACAAATTCCAAGGTTTAGCTGTTCCAGTCAATGTAGCCCCACTGCACGGGAAGGGGTACCTTGGACAGCTGCATCCTGGTGGTATTCGGGCTCCTCCTCAGGCGGGCTCTGCAGGAAGTACAGCTGCTCCGGCAGCATATTGCTGATCTTTTCCTTGCCCAGGACGTGGTTACTCAGAAGTGGGCTCCCGCTGCGCTTCACCTTCTCCCTCCTCTCATGGGCCATAATTTTTTTGGTCCGAGCCTTGATGTTCTCCCAGCACTTCTTCAGCTGCTTGAAATCCCGCAGCGACACGCTGGGCTGAGAGTTGTACTCGTGGGCCAGTGCCTGCCAGGTGCGCTGCTTGAGGGCAATAGTTCGTGCATCGCTTTTCTTACATTCCAACACATACTTGTACTTTTCTACTAAAGCAAGCAAGATGCTCTTCTCCAGCTCTGAGAAGTATTTGGCCGGTTTAATAATTTCGTTGTTTTGCATTTTCCACTCTATTTCTCCTGGTCGTTAACTAGCCTGCAAAGGGAAGTTTGAAGCAAGAATTACCAATTCTAGCAATGAAGAGCTCACAAATCACTGAGGCTTAATCCCTACCTTGGTTCCCTTCTTTAAACAGAGCAAGTAACTTCTTTTTCATTAACAGGAAAACAGCCAGAACTTTACTGAGAATGGGAATTTTGCGTTTTCCAAGTCCATTTCCCAGTAGTCTCTGAACACCTAATTATCACTCCAATTTCCTAATTTATCTCTGCTTAATGTAAGGAACTGGTTAGTCTCACAAACGTCAGGCAGCTTTGGAAATGAACGGCTTACTCTTTCTTTTTCTTTTCCTTTTATTTTTGGAGGGTGGGGGCACAGATGAAGGTAGAGGAAGGAGTCCACTGACTAATCAAACAGATCAAGTTGTATAAAAGCATTACCAAGATTTCAGACTCATAAAGAAATTGCTCCTGGATAGCTGATATCTTTATTTTAATTATTTTTTAGATTTATTTATGTGTATGTTTTGTCTGTACATATGTCTATGTATCAGTCACATACCTGGTGCCCAGAAAGGTCAGAAGAGGACCTCCTCGAACTGGAATTACAGACAATTATGAGCTGCCACATGGGTGCTGGGAATCAAACCCAAATCCTTTGCAAGAACAAGTGCTCTTAACCATTAAACCTTCTCTCCAGCCCTGATATCTTTTGTTTTAGTTTTGTATCCTTCCTTGACCTTAGATGATGAACCTTGGGCAACCTCAGGTCCTTCTTCAAAGGGGGAAGCCCATCATGGAAGCTTACACCTGCAACTCCACTACCACTCCAGCGGCTGAGGCCAGGGTCTGCTGTGAGTTGGAGCGCATAGTGAGTTCTAGACCAGTCTAGGCTACAGGTGAGATCATGTCTCAAAAAGAAAAGTATTAAATAAAAAATGAGAGGTGAAGTCTATGACCTATCATGTTTGAAAGCCACTATTTATATTTTTTATTCATTTATTTATTTAATTTTATTGGTTTTTTAAGTCAGGATTTCTATGTAGCCCTGGATGATCTGGAATTCCCTATATAGACCAGGCTGGCCTTGAAGTCAAAGATCCGCCTGTCCCTGCCTCCCGTGCCACCACCGACACCTGGCAACTGGGAGCCACTTTTAGGAATAAGTGTACAGAGCTGGTGCACACCTTTAGTCCCAGAAATTCAGAGGCAGAGGCAGGTTGATCTCAGTGAGTTCGAGGCCAGCCTGGTCTACAAAGAGAGTTCCAGGACGTGATCTCAGTGAGTTCGAGGCCAGCCTGGTCTACAAAGTGAGTTCCAGGACAGCCAGGACTGTTACACAGAGAAACCCTGTCTTAAAACAAAATAAAAATGAGTGTACAGTCTTGAGAAAATGATTTCTGTACTTTCAGAATTGAGTCTGTATGCTTAGAGACAAAGTTCAGTGCTGCTCTCCACTTTGGAACCAAGTGCCAAAAAACTGAAGTGAATTGCCCAGGGCACACAGACAGTGACACAGCACAGAAGTCTGGGATCTTTTGTCCCAGAAGTCTAGTGTTCTTGGTGTCCTTCTGACTATTCCTTGGACTTTGGGCAGTTTCAAACAATTCAACCAGGACTCCTTAAGTCACCCTATCCTCCTCTGCAGTACTGAGTATTTCATAAATGCCTTACTGCTCTGCTGTAATGAAACCTGTTTCCCACATCTTCTGCTCACAAGACGTTTCCTATGAGAGGGATCCCTCACATAAGTGAGGCAAACACGGCTGAGCCACAGCAGCTGCCGGAACAGAGTGAGCACTGCTATAGCCCCTGCTGGAAAGGACCAACACAGCCCTAGACCCTTTTATGTTTTCTAAGCCTCTGATCTTTCAGCGTAATGGACAAGCATCAAGATACTGGTGATGTAGTCCATTTAAAACTGCCCACTTCTTATCCAAAGAACTGGGAACCAACTTCAAAGGAGTCGGCTGACAGCTAGAAGTGAGGTCATCTAAACACCAAGAGAGGTAGATACATCAAGTTCACTACATTGTTTTCTCAGTCATTTTGTATTTTGAAATTTTCTATAATAAATATATAGGGGGTAAGACTGTGGCTTTTTTCCCCTCTTCTTTTCTTTTTTTGATACTGGATCTCATGTAGCCTGTGACTTAAAAAAAAAATACGGGGGCTGGAGAGATGGCCATGCAGTTAAGAGTGCTTGATGTTCTTCCAAAGGACCAGAGTTCAGTTCTCAGCACTGAGCAGAGTTCACAACCAAAGATAACTTGAGCTTTCAGTGATCCAGCTCTGTCTTCTGGCTTATACAGGTGCATGCATATGCATGCAGGCACGTCCACGCAAACACACACACACACACACACACACACACACACACACACACGCTCTCTCTCTCTCTCTCTCTCTCTCTCTCTCTCTCTCTCTCTCTCTCTCTCTCTCTCTCCCTCGCCCTTTCTCCCCCCTCCTTGCCTCTCTCTTTGGTGTTTCAAGACAGGGTTTCTCTGTATTGCTTTGGAGCCTGTCCTGGAACTCGCTCTGTAGACCAGGCTGGCTTTGAACTCACAGAGATCCACCTGCCTCTACCTACCAAGTGCTGGGATTAAAGGTGTGTGCCACCAATTCCCGGCTCACTTTTTTAACCTTAAAAACCATCCTATTAAAATCAAACTTTAAGCTAGCTACTCATGCCCATGACACCTGCTGAGGCGTATCCTGTTGTAAAAGACTGAGGCTGGAGCAGACTAGACCAGCAGAAAGTCTTAAAACTGGGCAATGGAATCTGATGAGGGCCTTCACAATGCTCTACACCTCACCCCAAATCAGGCTTAGAAAGGATACTACGGGGGGGGGGGTAGGCCCTCCCCAACCAGACTTCTCTCTTCACTGTCACAATGGGCGATTACAGTATCAGAGTTACAAAGAAAACTAAATATGTGTCAAAGGCAGGTTTGCCTCAGACCTAGGCAAAGCTAAATAAGGAGCTTTTTTTTTTTTTTTTTTTTTTCTTTTTCCAAGGATGTGGCCCTGGCTCCCTTAAACTTTCAAATCTATGCTTTGATTGTATTACTCTAGAAGTCCCACAGTGGCACCAAGTCAGGGCTCCTTCTCCCTCCCCCAAGGTCAAAATTAATTCTTCACCATCATCAATGTCTATTCACTATAATCCAGTGTTCCCCAAACTAAAGTTTGCAAACACAGGTCCTGCACAGCTGCCCTCTTCCATATCATCTCTATCTTCCAACACACCCATGTCCAACTTTCTGTGACTTTTACTATAGAGTTGGTGGGTACAGTGGGTGTTTTTAAAAAATGGATAGCTCCCAGAGCCAATTCTGAGTCCCCCACACCAGCACTTCTGCCTCAGGCGACATGGTACGTCTACTTTCCCCACCCCCACCCCATTCCTTTAAGAATGGCTGGCTGCTCTCAAGTCTCAGATTTCTTTCTTTTTTTTTTTTTTTTTAAGATTTTATTTATTTATTACATATACAGTGTTAGGCCAGAAGAGGGCACCAGACCTCATTACAGATGGTTGTGAGCCATCATATGGTTGCTGGGAATTGAACTCAGGACCTCTGTAAGAACAGCCAGTACTCTTTAACTTCTGAGCCATCTCTCCAGCCCAAATAAGATTTCTAATTCACAAATGAAAAGGTTTTCACTCCCTATTTTTTCTGTTAGGTATAATGCTATTTTATATGTAGCCTATAATTGTATATGCTTACTTTCTAAGTAAATATTTCTCTTACCTTGACTACTTCTTCAAAGTTGTTGCCTCAAAAGATTAGTCTTTGTACACTGTGTGGCTGACTGACATCCCATTCATGGCACACCAGTGTATCTGTCTGTCTACTTCCTCTGCTCTTGTTGATAACATTCTAATTCTCCCCAAACGTGGAAGTGAAAACCATCCTTCGTTGTTTAACATTCTCTGCTCTCGAGCCTTAGGCAAACAAAGCACACTCTGAGGCTCAGTCTCTGTGACACTTGGTAGAACTGAAATTGTCAGGTAATTTAAAAATTCTTCCTTGTCATGCATACCACCAGGTAGTGATGGAAAGAGACAGGGTTAAAAAGAAATTTAGACAGAGTGTCTAAATTTCACAAAGAGGTCTGCGTTAAGGGTGGCCAGTTGAACCCTTCAATAAGAACAGATAAGTTTTACTGAGTTTTTGTTGTGGGTTAGATTGTATACCAAATGCTTTAGGTGCAGTATATCATTTCATCTTCCCCTAAATCGCTCTTGAGACCAACATCCATTATACTTCAATTTTTCTGTTAAAGAAAAATCTAAGTACCAGAAGAAATTATACAACTGCTCTCAAAAGCAAATACCCAGAATTACCCACACCTGGGGACCATTAACAGCTTATTAACTAAACTGTTATTTAATCACTAGCTAAGTACAACCAGAGTTGCTAATTTACTTTGCTTAATTTCATAGAACACCAGGCCTCTCTGGGCCATGTGGTTATGTTCAACAGAAAGCTAAAAAGGGATTCTGGTGTAAGCCCTAGCTTTTGTACCCCAAAGTTTCCTTGTGGATTCCCAACAGTTTTGTAAGGTAGGTTGCTTAACTCTACAAACTAATTATTATTTCTATTTCCAATATAAGAAAGCTGAGGCCCAGGAACCTACCATGACCACAGAGAGAGTGGGTGGCAGACCCAGGAGTCATAGCCAGCATGTCTGCAAGCCCACACTCCTCTACTCGGTCTAGTTCTCTCATTTCAGCTCTAGTGGTGGTTTTTATTCCTGCTACAATGATATCAATTACCAAGTGATCCAGTGATCTGCTGGAGAAGGTCCAATGGCAGGGCAGCTTGGGGGAGCTGTGTCTGCTCTGCCCATCTCCATTTGTTGGTTCTGCCCTCTTTCCTCCCCACCCCTTTGCCTCCATTACCTCCTCACTCTCTCTTAAACAGAGGGCCCACACCTTCCCCCACAAAAGCATCCCTCACTCAGTCTAATCAGAGCTCGGGAATAATTTCTCCAGCCTATGTGATTAAAAAAAAAAAAAAAAACTGTCTGGAAGTAACCACAGAGACAATGCAGAGCTTTAAAGTGGTCCACACACCCAGGGGTAGGCTGGAATCCCACAGGAGCACCTGACAGACAGTCCTCATCAAACAAACAACTTGCCAAGCAAGAGATCTCTCCAACAAAGCTTATCACTGGAAATACCAAGGCCAAAAAGCATAACCTAGCTAAACACTAATCCACAATGTCCATAATAGGTTACAGATGGCAACACAGTAAGCCTTCCCTGTTGTGTGAGTTTTTGCTAGAGTTGGGCTGCCTTCCCTGCCCTCTACTCTGCTCAGTAGCAACTCCTCCTTATGGATGCTGCTCTGCTAACATACTACCTGCTAGTATATTACCATGGTTGTATCTAACAGCAGCCCATTGACCCCCCACAAGTGGGCCCCAGTAGACAGTGAATGCATATGTACATTTTATATAGGTATACCAGCCACACACAGAACATCATATAGGACAAAGCTGTGTTAAAGTATACTAAACACTGTGTTAAAGAAAAAATGGTCAATAAAACAGCAAAATCCAGATGCAGTGAAAGTTCCCCTGGGTCTTGGCAAAGATCTGAAAACAGGTCTAAATAAAAGAACACAATAATTCTAATATCGTAAAAGAACAAAGAGGAAGCGATTAGCACAATTCCCAAAACACTAACATTGATTAAACCACCAGAAGTTGATGACCGGGTACTAGTTCATTTAATATTCACTTTAAAAGGAAAAGCCAGCTGTTTGTGAACTGAATGACTGTATGTTACCGACTTCCAACGACAAATCACTAATCTCCAGTGGGCTGTGCTTGGGATTAGACATTTAAAGAAGTAATTAAGGCTAAATGAGACCCTTTGGTCCAACAGGAAGAGACATCAGAGACCTTGCACCCTCACCCCTATGGGGGGGGGTGAGCATACTATAAAGTGGCAATGACTGACGTGACAAGAGCTTCACAATAAAACCTTTTCTGCCAACACCTTGATCTAGATCTGAAACTACAAGGGAAAAACTTCTGTGTTCAAGACACCCAATCTTTGGTATTTTGTCATGAAAGTAAAGAAGACTGATATGACAGTTTGTGATTTTTTTTAAGTCCACCAAGGGTGAAACTAAGTCTTAAGTTTTGAGCAAAGTCTAGAGAAATGGCAAAGATTTTATTTCTATTGCCTTTTGTAGGAAAAAAGAAAAAAAAAAATCACACTTTGAAGTTAATCCTGGTAACCAAGGAGCTAGGATGGAGACCTCAGACAGGGGTCAGGACAGTAACAAGCCAGGATCCCATGGTGAGATGGGGGTGGGGGTAACAGAGAACCTGCGCTCGAATCCTGACCAGCATTCCAGCTGTGCACCTCTGGGCAGGTCAGTGCATCACCTGTGAGATGGATTAGTAAACCTGAACACACACAAAGCCCAGCAGTGTAAGAAGCAAGATTAGAGCATCAGTACACTGTGGTGCTTTCTCTGTCCCCATTTCAAACTGTTTCCAAAATAGCATCATCTATATAATGTATACCCAAACCTATGTTTACCAGTCTTTTATTTCATATACATAAAATTTAACCAATATGAATGCGCTCCTATAGAAGGCTAAGCACAGCTCTAAAATATATGGGGGATGCAAAGATAAGTGGAACGCCACATCTTGGGAAGAGCACTGACACTCCCAAGCTGACGCCTGAAAGGAGAAGCTTGGGAACAGACGCCATAACAAAGGACCACGTGCCCTGAATGCTCAGGGGAGGGAAGAGTGGATCTGCCCTCCTGTGAACAAGAGACCATGAGTTAGACTTGTATGGATATGAAGAGAAAGAGCCAAGGAAGATAATTCAGATTCTTTAAAAGGGGAAGGGGGTGGGGTAGGAAAGGCTCTGCACCCAGAGTGGGACAACGTTCCTAGGGAGAAAGAAAAGTGTTAAAGTACATCATGACCAGGATGTGTCTGTGCACACACAAGGGTAAGGGAGCAAGAGAATGCAGAGGCACTGAGATACATGTGGCCTCAAAGAGCCACAACCCTGATCTGGCATCATAGGGAATGGCGCTCCCTAAGGTGGAGAGATTGCAGCCCCACAAAAGTGTAAAACAGCACAGACATTTGGAGCACAGAGTGGTGGCGAGGCAGTACAAGAAAGAGCAGCAAAGATGTGCCCAGGACTTTATTCCAGGACAGAGCTGTGCCTAAGAATGAGTACCTTAATGCCTACTAGAAACAAGTTAGCATCAGAACAAAACAGGACCACAACTTGGGAGACATAAAGGACTAACATATTACATATGAACGTAGTGGGTGGGCTCAGGGGCCTGCTACACACCTCCCATGGAGGCCTGCCAACAGGTTATAGTCTGCCATAAAAAAGCGAAGGCTATTTCCTACTTTCTGTTACCATTCTACATCCTGATTCAACATCTTGAAAATAATCAATCTTTGAAATAACCTAAATCCTAGCATATTAAAACTTTAAAGAGAGAGAGAGAGAGAGAGAGAGAGAGAGAGAGAGAGAGAGATCACCCAACCTCTTTCTTCACAAGTGAGAAACTAAGGCTTGGCACAAATAAGGGGCTTCTTGGGGACCTGGTAACAGGGAGGGGACAGCCTGCTGCTGAAAGTTCATGGTTTATTTCCAAGCTCTATCCCCACATCTTCCCATTAAGGTGCCCTTTTCTGTGAGGTATTTTCAAGCCATCCCCCGCCATCCCATCTGCTGTGGTTTGGATCATAAGGCCCCTTGTGTTAGAGCCTGGTGCCCAGCTTGACATTCTCTGGAAGAACAAGAACTGTCAGAGGTGGATCTAGTGAGGTGACTTCAGGACACGGACTGAGTACCTGAAGGAGAGAACTCCAGCCCCTTCCTCATCTTCTCTTTGCTCCCTAGCCTAAGGGAAGCAATTTTTCTCTACCATGTATTCCCACCATGCCATATGCCCTGCCATAGGCCCCAATCAACAGGGCCAACTGAATAAATGAAAAGAATGAGCCTAGCAGATGATTGGCACACACCTTTAATCCTAGCGCTTGAGGCAGAGGCAGATGGATCTTTATGAGTTCAAAGCCAGCTTCATCTAAATACTGAGTCCCAGGCCAGCCAAGGCTACATAGTCCCTGTTTCAAACAAACAGTACGAGCCCAAACAACCTTTACTACCCAATTACCAAATGCGGTGCTAGGGACTACACCTGACTTCAAGCATCCTGGGAAAGTGTCCACTACTCAGCTACACCCCCAACCCAGGCCTTTTCTTTTTATAAACTGATTAGCTCAGAGTTTAGGCACAGTGACAGAGAGCTGACTGGCGTGTCACCTGAAAACTTAAGGGCATTCTGTCACTTATCCTGTGCCATGCAGCAAGCCCTCTCTCCTCCCTGTCAGGTCTTCATCTCTACACTACAACTAAAGCAGGTGCTCGCTCGATAAGTCCCTTCCAGAGCTGGCAGTCCATATTAGCAGTCATTTTCCTGCGACCTAATTTCCACAGCCCACCACCAACCATGGAGGGCATTTTCTGATTACTCACGAAGCTAGTGGGGGTTTGGACCACTGAAATAAAATACTATACAAAACAATGAAATGATCCTGTCATTTCAAATCTTTTTTGCTTTAAGGACATATACAGATTTAACTTTGTAAGTGAAGCAATTCCAGGTAAAGCAGCTAAGGCCAGTAATCAGTTCTCCAGTGTCTTGAAGACTGGCCACCATGCAGCAGGCACTTGGTAAATATTTGCTGAATGCATTCTAACACACACCTGCCTGGCCATTTGTGTGTTTCTACTAATTACAGCTACATGTTCTTCTATCCAAAATACCTCTTTTGATAAGGGACTAATAGGGAAATTATAGTTTCCTGGTTTCTTGGAAATACCACGAGATCCTAAAGGAAGTGAAAATGGCAGTTTTCAAAGCCTCCTAATAACTG